CAAAAAGAAAAAAGCCGGAAGTGGTGCTGTGGCTCAAGTGGTAGAGTGCTAGCCTTGAGCTGAAGAGCTGAGGGACAGCGCCCAGGCCGAGTTCAGGCCCCACGACTGGACCCCCCCCCTCCAAAAAAAAGAACACATCTTGCTTTTTAATTACAAAATTATATAGTATGAGTATAAATTTCAAGACAAAATTTCAAGGAAAAAAATACATATACACACCTTCTGATACTGCATTTGTTTTATAGCAAAAATAACAGTGAAGATCTCATGTTGAATATAATTGGTAGAAGAAAATAATGTATGTTCTAAAAACTCAATGTCCTTGAAAGTGATTTCTTTCTTAGTTGTCACTGATGCTTATTTTTGTTGATAATCTGTTAATTAGAAGTGAAGTTTGAGCATTTTTTCATCCTAATAGAATAACATTTGTATTATGTGATGATTACATTCCAGAAAGATAATTTGGAGGTTTTATGTTGACATGTACTTTGATTTAATCTTTCCTGTTTTAAATAAGGAAAAATGGATTCCCACTCATTATTTTGCATAGAACATGTAGCTTTCAGATGTTATACTGACAGGCGGTTATAGGAAGGATGGAGAAATTCTAAGTGTGGAATATAGTCCTGTATTTAACAAAAAGTGCTAGCCATAGCTCATAGTAATCCCAATCAAAACTATTTTGAGTTAAAGAGGTAAAAAACCTTTTTAGAAGGTATGAATTAGAGCCAGGAACCAGTGGCTCACGCCTGTAATCCTAGCTACTCAGGAGGTTGAGATCTGAGGATTGTGGTTCAAAGCCAGCCCCAGCAGAAGAGTCTGTGAGACTTTGTTGTTGTTGTTGGTCATGGAGCTTGAACTCTGGGCCTGGGTGCTATCCCTGAGCTCTTCAGCTCAAGACAGATGGTCTACCACTTGAGCCATAGTGCCACTTCTGGTTTTCTGGTGGTTAATTGGAGATAAGAGTCTCATGGAGTTTCCTGTCCGGGCTGGCTTTGAACCACAATCCTCAGATCTCACCCTCCTGAGTGGCTAGAATTATAGGCATGAGCCACCAGCGCCCAGCCTGTTGTGAGACTCTTATCTCGAATAAACTACCAGAAAATTGGAAGTGGCGCTGTGGCTCAAAGTGGTAGAACGCTAGCCTTGAACTGAAGAGCTGAGGAACAGGACCCAGGCCCAGAGTTCAAGGTCCACAACTGACAAAAAAAAAAAAAGTAGGTATGAATTAGGAGTTCACGTAATTTTAGAAGATAAGTGTAAGTCTCACACTTTGCTTGCATAGTAGTGAATTGTATATATCATGGATTGTAAACCGTCTAGTCAGTCAATAAATGTTGGAGGTGTTGAATAGGTAATGGAGCTTAGATTTATAGAGCATGAGAAAAACATGAGTCTCATATCGTCTTTCCGCCCCTCCCTTCTCTTTCCTTGTTCTCTTCCCTTCTACTCTTCCTCCTTATCCACTCCTTTGTATCTTTTTTTCCTCTTAAACTGGACAGAAATGATGTATAATTGAAATGTATATGCACATGCCTCATTTATGTCATTTTCTTGCCTAAGTGTTTTAGAATAGTACAAACTATACCATGTTTCCTTTACCTTATGTTCTACCATCATCCCTGGGCTAGCATTCTTTTACTTTAATTTTTGATGTCACAAACACCTTTTAATCTTCACAATGATAGCCATTATTATCTTAATCTATATTGCTTATGAACTGTATGAAAAAGGACTGCTTTTTATTGTTAAGGTGATATACAAAGGGGTTACAGTTACTTAAGTAAGGTTGTAAGTTACATATCTTGTCAAACTTGTTACCCCTTCCTTCATTTTTCTCCTACTTTTTCTCCCCCAACCCCCTCACCCTCCTAAGATCCCTTTTGAGTCTACTAAAAGTGATCTGAAATGTCCCATTTTAATCAGTATGGAAAATACATTGTTAACACTATGCCTCCAGCCACTTTATCTCCCCCCAAAACACTGGTTTCTGAAAAAGTGCTAGTGATTTCCTTGCCCTTGCAGGTGACATGCTTCGTTATATCCAGGAGAGTAAGGAAAGAGCTGCAGAAATGGTAAAGGCAGAGGTTCTGCGAGAGCGTCAAGAAACCGCCCGGAAGATGCGCAAATATTACCTCATTTGTCTCCAACAGATTTTGCAGGATAATGGAAAAGAAGAAGGGTAAGTTTAGTCTAAACCACTTGTCTGTCATTTCTCCAAGTAGTTTTCTTATCACAAAACTTAACCGTTGTTTTGTGATCAAGCTGTTGAGGGTGAAGAGAGTTTTGTGTTTTTGTTACTGTAAATGTTGGCAGAGCTAATAGGTAAACAGTCCTAGAGCTAAATTTTAGAAACTAACATTTTGTTGTTGTTGTTGTTTGCACTCTTTTTTTATTTTCCTGTTCTGGATTCCCCACAGGCCTGAGAAAAGAATTATGAATGCAGCTAGCAAACTTGCTACAATGGCAAAATTGCTGGAAACACCTACTTCTAGTAGGTCCCCAAGCCAAACTACAGCAGCATCAGGTATGTCTGAATCAGTTGCTCAAATGCCTTCTTTTCTTTTGAATATTTTAGTGCTTTCAGTATGAAAAAGAGAAGTGTAAGGACTAAGTTAATTTGTCAAGTTATTGTGGGCATTACTACAAATATATTTATATATGTATATATACTCATATGTATGTATATACATATATGTGTGTATGTGTGTGTGTGTGTGTATATATATATATACATATATATATATATATATGGAGCATGTACCCTAGCTGTCCATGTGGCGTCCATCCCTACAGATGGTAGAAAAGATTAAAAAAAAAATTGACTTAAATTATCCTTGAGTAGTTTTACAAAGGAGGTATCATATAACAAAGCAGTTAATGAATATGCATTTTGATCACTGTCACCCCCTTCCAAAATTCTCCCCCCCCTTTAGTTTAAATAACAAAGAATGATAAATAGATGAAATGATAACTGGGTTATAAAGGTTGTAATGGATAGGTAAGGAGTTGTAAGAAAATCCTTTAAAAGAAGGCAAGTATGTGGTTGATGATGGGGAAACTTCAGTTCAAAGCTGCTAAAAGATGACTGAGGAGAGGGAGCAGATCAAAACTGCACCGTGTGGAAGCTCTGGCAGAAGTACAGGGCTTTGGCAACATCTATAGGATATTTAGTTTGTGTTCTAGAGCAATCACAACCAGGTAGAGAGTCACTTTTCTTTTAATCTCTTCTTTCCTAACCCTAATATTGAGCTGGGTGACAGCAACAGGAAAGCGTTTTGCAAGCAAGACAGTGTCCAGGTAGCTAGATACACAGGGAGGATTTGGGAATTCCCATGTCTAGAGTGCCAGGTGTTAGGTGTTTCTGCACCTGCTCTTCCCCTGCCAGCCAGTGCAAGCAGATAAAGGATCAGGGCATCCAAAAGACAAGTATTTAAATAAGAATAGACATATATTGCCAATGGAAAGGCATCACCATATAACAAAACAAACAAGAAAACATTGAAGTAATGACAAAACCAAACCCACAGAATTTGTACCTAACAAAAGAGTTAGTAAAACAAATAGCAGAACTTGCGAATGTTCTTCCAAAGAAAGATGCAAGAAGATAGAGTATAGGTGAACTTTAAAATATGTTCAGAGTTTTACTATTTTCAAGGACAGGATATAGGTAGTGATAACTCTGGTTAGAAGAAAATGTAGATTTAAGTATGTGTGTTAAAACTTATGAGTAACCAAGAGCGCTAGCCTTGAGCTGAAGAGCTGAGGGACAGCGCCCAGGCCCAGAGTTCAGGCCCCACAACTGGACCAAAAAAACAAAAATAAACAAAAACTTAAGAGTAACCAACAAACAAATAGAAATAGAAAATATATCTTTGAAGCTAGTAGAAGAAAACCTTGGGGGGAAACACATTAACAAAATGAAGAAACAGGAAACAAAAACTAAAAAAGCATCAGCAAATAAAAGATAAAAGAGTGTTGGAACACCAGCAATCTGACTAAGACTAAGTTTAACTCACCTATTATAAGGTCTCAACTTTCAAATAAATGTTTTACAAAATAGAGACATTTGCCGTTTTTAAAAGAGCATCTAAAATTCAAGTTGGAGAGTGATATACAACCATACAGTGTTGATATTAGGTAAATTCTAAGGGTAAATAACAGTATTAGGTAAATTAAGAGTGTACATGAAAAGGTACAATGTACCTCATAATAATAGAGCAGTCTCCCGAAAAACAAATTCTTTTCTGCATATAACATAGCTGTAAGACTATATAGAACAAGTACTGATAGAGATACATGAAAAACACCCTGGTAAATTTTGTCACACTGGGAGATGCATTAGGCACATCTGTGTAAAAATAAGAGTTTTTGAACTTTTGGAAAACTTGAAGCAGAGATTGTTCAGGAATTCATGGAAGATTACTTGTGTAAGTGTTAGAGTGGTGGTAGAAAGTTTAGGTACCAAAAGGGCAGTGGCATATTACAAAATAATTTTCTAGATTTGGGACAACAGTATGCATATGATGACCCCAATAGAACCAAACCCTTTTCGTGGGCTCTTGGGCCAAGATACAGTATGTGATGCCTCTAATCCATGCTATGTAACTGCCTTTGATACGATTCAATATCCTAGTCAACTAAATTACCAACTTTATTTAGCTTGTGCATTTGTGAGTAGTGGGTAGATGGGGACTTTTTACCAGACTCTTCTTTAGGAACTCTATAGTTAACCTCAAGAGATTAGAGAAACATGGCCCTTGAAATTTTGTAATACCTATTGCAGATTAATGCTGAATTAGACAGCAGTCACAATGGATTCCATTTCAGGAACAAGCTTTGTTTAGTGGATGTCACCATGTTTAGTCTTGGTGTGTTTTTCTTTGAGAATGATTAAAAATCTATATGCATTCTTTGAGACTACATAAAAGCCTGAATTTATTTTTCTCTTTAATGTTAATTTTCTCCTAATTTGTTTTCCCCTGCGCATAGTAGTACTGCCCTTGACTTCAGAGATGCTGAGTGGCGTTGAAAAATCAAAAAGAAATGATGTGAATCAGAGTGTACCTCGTAACATTGAAAGCAAATCAAATGGTATAAAAACTATCCCTGGAAGTATTTGTGAGCAAGTTCCTAAGAGGAGGGCTGCTTGTAATTTACAAAAGCGATTAGAGGATTCAGAGCACATAGATAGAAAGCATGTGGGTAACAAAGGGTCACCTTCAAACTTTGAATTTGGGGATAGTAGTCACAAGCACCTAGATATTCTGCCAAAGAATGTTGCTCCTGAATTTGTTCAATGCGAAGGTGAAGGAAGTTTGATTTCGCACAAGAAGAAAGACCTACCTGGTGTCACCTACTCGGAAACCCTTCTGCATCCAGTCACATACCCCTTTCTTGGAACATATGGAAATAAACCCTCACCTAGATGTACCCCTGAATCTGGATACGCACCAACAATCTTCCAAGATCCTAATGAAAGACCTGGTTCCAAGGCGTACACGTGCAACTCACTGTCGGAAAGTGACACTGCCTTATTTGAGAAAAGTCAAGGTTTAGGTATGCAGGAAACTCCAGTAAAGGATGGAGGAGACTTTCTTAACTCATTAGGTTGGCTTTCCAACAGTGCCCCGCTGCTCTGTAGCAGTCACGAAGTGTCGCTTTCACAGGGTAGGCCACAAGGAGCTCGGGATACGCTAAGCGATTCGATTCCATTCAAACAGGTTTCAGCACTCAGTTGTCAGCCGGTGAAATGTCAGAGTGATCACACTCCCAGCCTGTCAGGAGAAACTGGGTATTCCCAGCAAGGGAAATCCACGGTCACTTTTGGACACCCATTTCATCATAAAGCTGATAGATTAAAGTCAGATGTCAAAAAACTTAGCACTGCTATACCATCTTCAATATGTCAGCAGCCTTCAAGAAAATTGATGGCTCCCCTAGCCAGCCAGCAAGACAGTGGTTTTGACAGCCCGCTTGTCAACCTCGACTAATTGTGTTTAAGGAGAATCATGAATGCATTCACAAGAAAACCAGAAGGGAAGACTTCAGACTGGAGGAGGAAAAAAAAAAAAAGTCACAAGCTCTGCCTATTTCCAGATGCTTCCGTAACCTCTATTATATGAGTAAAGTCTTCTCATAAAATGACTCGAGATATTTATGTTGCCTTAATGTTCCAAAGGCGTGATGGTAATGTGGTCTAATCTGCTTCTGTGTGGTGCTTATATTTGGTTGCTTAAGCCATCTTATTTTTATACTTACAAATTGGCTTCTATTTTGCAGTGTTAAATTATTTAAATAAAATTGCATCAAATCTGTAGAATTGTCACGGCCCATTTTGTAGTTATAGAAATATTATCTTTACATCCTGTTTGAGTTTCACCTAGAAAAACACATATAAACTATTTGATTTGTATATATCACTTAGCCAGATGTAATTTTTAAAAGTAGCTTGGTGTGGGGGTGCAGGGTGGGTGGAACGAATCATCATGATATTTTGACTACTTTCAACTGGAGAAAAGAGAGTTTGGTTTTTAAAAATATAGCTTTGTTCTGGTTTTATTTAAAAAATATTTCCCAAACTTTTTCTGTTATTTGTATGATGGGCAGAGACTTTGTGTCTCTCTTATGTTTTGTTTATTTGTTTACAATAGTGCATTCTTAAAAGCTGAAATAAAAAGCCTTGTTATGTAGCAAGAAAACATGAAACTTAAATTGTTAACACTTAATAGTGCAGAAATTGGCAACATTGATGCTGTGGTTGAAGGTTATAATTTTTTTTTCTCCTTTTCTGTCTCCCCGTGTCTTTTCTGCTTGCTTGCTAAACACAGGCAAGTTCCAGGGCCTATCTTGTGTCTCTTCTGAAGGTTATAATTTTAAACTGATGAACTCATGCAGAAATCTTACTGTTTTATAAATTATTTACAGAATCCTAGAGGGGGAAATGGATGTTTTAGATATATGCAAATTCTTACTGAAACCTGTTACTATAATTTGTAAATCTCAGTGCATTCACATGATAGGCTGTATTTTGGGGTTAGTATATTTTTTCCATTTTTCAATAGGCTAACTGACTAGTGGTCAGGTTGATGGCAAGATACATCTTGTTAATCTTTTTGTTGTTGTTTCTGTTGGTCGTGGGCTTGAACTCAGGCCCTGGGTACTATTTCCGAGCTGTTTTGCTCAAGGCTAGCACTCTACCACTCTGAGCCACAGTTCCACTTTTTTGGTAGTTAATTATAGATAAGAATCTTTCCTGCCTAGGATGGCTTTTGAACCATGGTCCTTATATCTCAGCCTCCTGAGTAGTTAAGATTTCAGGTGTGAGCCACCAGTGCCCCAGCTTGTGAACCGTTGCTGAAAGCAAGAACCTAGACATGAAACTTTCGGAACTTGGGAAAGTCCTGCCACATAACTAGTGACCAAAATAGACAGGGTTAAAAATTTGCCCTGTATTTCATTGTTTTGAGACATCAGGATTTCAACAGATGGATATAGGAATTAATCTGCAATGCAGTGCTAAGATGATGGTAGAACAGAAAGGAGATGGGAGCTGCTCAGACAGTCTGGTGACATAAATCTTTGTCGTGGTGTTGATTTATTTTTATATGTTGCTGGATTTCATTTGCTATTACTACATTTAGGATCCCTGTGTGTTTCTTTTCTGAGTTTTGGTTTGGTGAATGGATAATGCTGTCTCATAGAACCTGATACGTGTTGTATTGCCTCTGTTTGCTGAAAGAATTGGTTCGGATTGGTATTATTTTAAATGCATTGGATGAAATTGCTGTGTGTGTATGTTAGTATAGGAGGAGAGTTTTAACTCATAATTCTCATGTTACAATGAGGTATTCCCAACTTCCTTGGGCCAGTGGGACTCGAACCTATGATCAGAGAAAGGAGTCACTCAACACTCAGTCAATAGGGTTAGGAGCCTTTATTAGCCTCAGCAACTGACCTCCACTGTCGAGACAGTGAAGGCCAGCCCCGATCTCAAATAGCTCAGGGATATAAAGACAAAAACCACAGAGGCTACTTGCAGGTGGTCAGTGGTAATTTTGCGATCAGTAAGGAAGCGAGTTAAAGAAGCAAAGCTACCAGTTAATAATTACAAATGGTGATTACAATTTCAATAATCAAGACAAAGTTCTCATCCTTGATCTTCCCTTTGCTCTCATTTTTGGGTTTTCTTCTAAAGGGAGATCCACCTTCCAAGTTTGGCCTTCTTCTTCTTAATCGATAAAAGCTAACTGCAAGGGGTCAAGTTCCATGTTGTAGTAAATTTGCTGAGCAAGCATAATCACAAAAAAACAGACACTGGGACATTGATGGTCAGCCTTGTAGACAGTCGGCCCTATTTTCACTCACTTTGCAATTTTTAGTAATGTCAAGCCACAGTTTTGTTCCCCTTTTTGAAGTTTGCACTTATTATTTTTAGGTCCTGGGACTTAATTATCCCAATTAAATTTCCTTCTTCCTTAGTCTAGTTAATACTCAATTTGTTTGATTTAATCTGCTCCTAACAAAGCTATTTGCAATTTTCATTTTAATGTTTTTTGTTTTTCAGGAATTGGGCCTCCTTATCTGAATTAACTCATTTTGTGATAAAGCTGGTCATAGTGTCCTATTATAATCATTTTAATTTCAGTTGAGTTGGTAATGGTCTCTTCATTCCTGATGTTGGCATTTTGTGTTATCTTTTTTTAAAAATGTAATTTAAGTATTTAGTTTGTTCTTTTGTCTTGCTTTTGTTTCCTTTTTTATTCATTTTATCTTTTGACTTTTTTTCCCTCCGCCTATGAACTTTAGAATTCATTTTCTCTGTTTTAAAAGGAAATTGAGATCATTGGTGTGAAATTGTTCTTTGCCAATGTCGTTGTTTAAAACTCCTAATTTTCCCTCTGAGTACTGTTTAACTTTATATTTGATATGTTGAAGTTTTGTTCTCATGGAGTCCAAAATGTTTTCTCATTTCCCTTGTGATTTCTTTTTTTGATCATTGCATGAATTTCCATGGGAGATATAAAAGAAACGTCTACTTCCAAATTGGGATTGCCGCAGCAACCTGAAGAGTGACCCCAACAAGTTAGTTTGACAAGTAAATGAGTTTATTAGAGAATGCTTACAGAGAGGTGGACAGCTTATGGGTAGCCTGCGTTTCTTCAAAGTCCCCCACCCCTGTCATCTGCCATGCCCCTAGTTTAGAGGTGGTTGTAACTGTAGTTAAGTGAATGTCTCTGTAGCATCACACATAGAGAAAACAGCAGAAATACTACAGGTTCAGATACCCCAAAGGCATGGATAAAATCAGAGTTTGGGAAAGTTACATGTTTCTATGTGCTCTCACTTTCTCCTTATTGGGCATTCTGCTGGTCTCAGCAAGTGCTGGTCAGACTATAAGGAGGATAGGTTTGTTTTATAGCAGTTTACTCTGTAGAATCACTGTAACTATGGCTTGCTTTGCAAGATGGACTTACTTTGAGTAAGTCTCTCTGTTGACTTGGGTTATTTAGAAATACGTGACCTTATTTCTTAGCATTTGGGGGTCTCTCTGTTGACCTGTGGGTTATTTAGAAATATGTGACCTTATTTCTTAATCATTTGGGGGTTTTCCAAAATTTCTTTCTGGTGTTTATTTTTGCATTTCTTTTTTTTTTGGTCAGATTATACTTTGATTCCAGTCCTTTTAATTTTCTTAATTGTTTTCTAGTCTAACACAAATCCATCTTGGTCTATCCTGGGCTATATTTCATATATGCCTGAAAAGAATATGTAGTCAACTTGGATTGGCTAGATTGTTCAAAGTGTTGTTTAGCTATATTTGCTGGGTCGTTCAAGTGTATTCTGGCGGCGCTAATCTTCTGACTGTTGTAAGAATGGGGCGTAGTTGTTGGAATTATCTATTTTTCCTTTCAGTTCTGTCAGCTTTTGATTCATATATTTTGGGAATCTGTTATATCTTTGTCTTTGTTATACATCTTTCAAATGTGTGGGCCTCTTTATCATTATAAAATATTACTCCTTGTCTAGGGTGATTTTTTTTTTTTTTTTTTTGGCGGTCATGGGGCTTGAACGAAGGATTGGGCACTGTCCCTGAGCTTCTTTTTGCTCAAGGCTAGCATTCTACCACTTGAGCTACAGTGCCACCTGTGGCCTTTTTTTGTTTATATGGTACTGAGGAATGGAAGCCAGGGCTTCATGCACTAAGCCACCTTCCCAGCCCCACCCCGCCCCCAGTAGTATTTCTTAAAGTGTATTTTTACTCTTCACTACTGCAGCTACTCCACAGTCTCGCCATTATTATTTGGTTTGGGTTCAAACAGAGGCCTTGCCTGATTTTTGTTTTTTTTAATTTCCTCACCAGAATTTGATTTGGTGATTTCTTAATCATGTTGTATACAAAGTGTACTGGATTAGATTCTGTTTCCTGTGTTTTCCTGACCTCAGCAGCCCTAGACAAGCAGTTTGGTTGTGTGAGACAAGGGGAGAGCCTGGTTTCTGGGTTATCACAATGAACCTATAGATGTTAATGATTTTCATTGGCTGCCAGTTAGTTTTCCTGGAGAAAAAAAAAATTTAAGTGTGGTCCAGTGTCAATCTACTCCCAGAAGACACCAACTTTATTCATGAAAGAACTTCTTTGATCTTCACATGCTCACATACTCAAATATTAATAGCTTGAGAGCTTTCCATGATCTCAAATTTCTCACCATCCTCCTGCCTCCGCCTCTAAAGTGCTGGGATTAGTGGTATATGCCCCCACACCCAGCTCTACAAACTCAAACTTCTGTTTTAACTGGTTATATGAATTCTTTCTATGGGGTTTCTTCAGGTTTAGCCTATGTATTAACACCAAAAAAAAAATAGAATATGCTTTTGAATACCTGTCAAGCATCAGTTCCCATATTAAGCTCTGTCATGTACTTTTCTCCTAGTCCTTTTAACAATCTTTCAACAGTCTTATCATTTTACGATGAGCAAAGGAAGATGAAGGGGATTACAGGTGGCTGAGCAGACTTACAAAGAAGGTCGTAAATCACTGCAAGGCAGTATGACCTCATACTGACCAAAACAACCTGTCTCTGACATTGAAACAGCATTTTTTTCAAATACAAAAAGATGCTCATATCATTAATAATAGAACTTTATGCTAATAACAGGAGTTGCTCTACTCTTTTCAAAAAGGACTTGCTTAAAATCCAGTTCAGTCTGGGCTGGGTAACTCAAATCCAGTTATATACTAGATTTCTCACGGTAGAAGACTGAAAAATGGTAGGTAGCTGGTACTGTTGGTTGCCTACCATGTATTATTACCTAC